CGGGTAGATCACTTGAGCTCAGGAGTTCGACACCAGCCTGGCCAACATGGTGAAACCCCATGTCTACTAAAAAAAAAAAAAAAAATACAAAAATTAGCCAGGTGCAGTGGCACGTGCCTGTAATCCCATCTACTTGGGTGGCTGAGGCAGGAGAATCACTTGAACCCGGGAGGCGGTGGTTGTAGTGAGCCAAGAAGGCGCCACTACACTCCAGCCTGGACTACAGAGCAAGACTCCATCTCAAAAAAAAAAAAAAATTAAATTATATTAGAAATTAACTGTCAAAAACTGAATAGAACTGCATAGGGCTAGGGGTTGAGAGAAAATGAAGGGTGACTGTTAATGGGCATGAGTTCTTTTAGGGGTGAGGGAAATGTTCTGAAGTTGGTTGTGGTGATGGTCACACAACTCTGTAAAAATACAAAACCATGAAATTGTACACTTTAAGCGGGTAAATTTAATCTCAATATAAATAAAAATTTATTATATCTCAATAAAGCTGCTTTTTAAAGTTCAATAAAAAAAGAGAATGGGAAGACCCAGAAGAGTTGAAGAGTGTGTTAAAGAATGAACAGGTGTTAGCCAGGTTGGGATAGGGGTGGTGGGGAAGGAAGGGTAGTCATTTAGGCAGATGGAAAAACAAGTTCAAGGACACAATGAAATAGCATGACATGAACAGGGGAACTTCCAAGTGGTTCAGTATTGAAACAGAGTAGAAATGTGAAAGAAAAAACCAGAAAGATGAGGCTATAAAAGTGAGGCTGAGAGGTAGCAGGAAGGGGCCAATTCATGCAGTCTTTTCACCAGCGAGGAGGGCCTGGCCTTCATGATGGAGCTGGTGCCTCGTGACTGGCATTCCACAGCCAGGCGTTTCCTCCTATTACCTCCTGTCTCCTTAGGGACTTGCTCCGTGAGTTGCTTCAGCTGACTCTCCATCATCCTCTATAAACCTGTTTCCATTTCCCTGTCCCTGTTTTCCTTCTACCACTCTCTAAGACACTTTTCTGGAAAGATCAGTTTATGCCTAATGCCTCACCTTCTCACCTCCTGTCCACTTCACAATTCATTGCAAGTAGATTTCTGCTCCAATATCCCAATGAAACTGTTGTAGCAAAAATTGGCAGTCCCTTCTGATTCTCAAATCTACAATGCATTGCTCAGTCCTTTTCTTACCTGTTCACTTTGGTTCTTTCTGAAGCTCTTTACTCACTTTCATTGTGTGATACCTCTTCATTGTCAACCTACTTCTCTTACTATTCCTTCTGAATATCCTCTGTCTGCTCCTAAAAGTCAGCATTCCGTAAGGCTCAACTTTAAGTCTTCTCCTCTTCTCATACCTTCTAAATTGATCTTATTCACTCTTATGATGTTAATTATGACTTATACATAGATGTCAACCCAAGGTGGAATCTCAATTCTAGTCAATGTTGTCCATTGCCTACTTGGTATCTCCAGATGGTTGCATTCACTAAATATTATTGAATATGATATGCCAAAGTTTGTGTTGTTGTGCCATGACTACCACAAATAATAAGACACATCTCCTGCCCTTGGGGTCTCTTAGGCTAGTGGAGGAAGCTGAAACCCTACGGTTAAGGATACTTATCATAGGAACCTAGAGGAACAGCAGTGACCCCAGTCCTGGGAACCAGTGATGTCTTGGTAGAAGAGGTGGTAATAAGCCTTAAAGCCTGATAAAGAGGAAAGCACCACTTGGGGACAAAGGGAAAGGGCATTCTAAGCAAACAGCAAATGCACAACTGCAAGGAGCAACTTGGAGCATGTAGCAGAGGAAACTCAGTGGCTGTAGGCACTGCAAATTAGTGTGTACACAGAAACTGAGGCAAGTGAGGCTGGAAAGGGAAGCAGAGGCAAAACCACAGAGGATCTTCAAGGTAGAGTAGTATTAAGAGCATTGGCTTTATCCAGTTGCGTAGATGATGGGAGTGTGTGTAGCTGATGAATGATGAGAGTGAAGTAGTCATATCCACCTTTTACAAAGAGTATAAAGTGCTCACAGAATGGAAGACAGGTTGGGGACAGAGGGAAAGACTGGAGACAGGAACCAGGAAGAAAGCAACTAGGGATACATATTCATTTCCATCTTCTTTGGTACAGCTGTTGATAGCCATGAAGATAAAATGAGCCTATCATGTCTACTGGGGCCCAATTTTTTTCTGTCTCATACACACATACCATTAAATATAAATACAGTTCATTTTGGGTAGTCATTGAAAAATTTCTACTTTCCAGAGGCTCCAACACTGAGCATACATCTACGTGATTAACATTAGCATTGTACAGATGGAGTAAAATTTCTTGTCAATGTTTAACATAGTTTGCTGTTTTCCACATTAAATCCCAAATAAGCACACAAGCATCTATTCTGCATATTGGCACTCCAATGTAGCAAGTCAATCTAAATAAACAGCAGTAAAAATGGTTGCTTATACTCACTGTGAATGTTGGGCAGTCAGAGACATTCAGTTCTTGCAAGTTCCTACAGTGGCCTGAAGCAAATAAGTTATACATCACTAAACTACATATTGCAAATGTTTAAACAGAGTTTTTCTATCCTACATTGAATGCAGTGTATTCATTAGAAAACAAACAAAAGCCTTGGCAAGTAACATGTTCTAAGTATATGGTTTCTTTTCCCAGAAAAATGACTTTTTTGGGCTTCAGAATTAAAATATATAGACATGTTTATTATTGTTTGAGGATTATAGGAGTAAGGGGAAAAGAGAAAAATATTACTGTGGGAAAAACACTATATACTCAGAGCTTTTAGCTTGAAAGCACTTGAAGAAAACCAATCTGGTTTTTTGTGCCTGCTTTTTTATTTTTTTGTTTTCATTTAACATTTTATTATGAAAATTTTCAAACATATACAAAAGTGGAAAGAATTTTACAATAAATAATCTATATAGCCACTGCTTGGATTCTATTTTTTACTGTATTTGCTTTATCATATATCCACCCACTCATTCATCTCTCTATACATTCCTCAATCATCTTATTTTTGTATGCATTTCAAAGTAAGTTGCAGACACTAGTACACTTACCCCAAATACTTCAACATGTATATCATAAATAATTCGGCATATATAATAATAAACAGAATAGTTGACATGATTTTGTTTAGGTCAGACTTATATAAAATTTATAATGAATTGTAAATAGACAAGTGGAAGGTCAGAAAGGCTAACTGCCTAGCTCTGGGACCAGAGGCCAGTGCACAGCTTATAATCGCTCGGGGAAAATGACACAGGTATACAAACAGTTAGATGGCAAAGTGCTTCACAACCAGTTCCCTGCATCTCAGTGGACAGTAAGTAAAACTCCAAATCTGAGACAGAAGAGAAGCAGCTAGGGAGGCTACACAAACCAGTGACTGGGAGGAATGCTTGAGGCAAAGAAAAGGGAAGGCATTCTAGGTGGAGACCCCATGAAGCAGGAAAACTCCAGGCAAGAGGGCGATTCTGGTGTTCAAACTGTCACAATGAATAGAAAACACATTTGCTGCTCATAACCACACAGCCCCACGCTAGTAACAACAGACATGTTAGTAGTTATAAACCCATTTTGAACATTTCTTCCTTTGCCAAGAATGGACTGCATCCTAAGTGATATATGCAAACCAGAAATACTTTCAGAATTTTAAAAAATGAAAACAATTGTTAAAAATCTGCACATCCTGGAAGTCCTCAATAATATTTAATAAGGAGAAAATAGATTTCCCAAGCAATATAAGTTGACAAAATAAATGTTCTTACAGAATACAGTAGTTATTCTGTTTGTTTCATTTTTTTGAGACAGGATCTCACTCTGTCACCCACACTAGAGTGCAAGTGACACCATGTTGGCTCACTGCAGCCTCAACCTCCCAGGCTCAGGCGATCCTTCCACTTCAGCAACCCCCACTCCCATTCCCAAGTAGCTGACACTACAGGTGCATACCACCATGCCTGGCTAATTTTTGTATTTTTTGTAGAGACGGGGTTTCCCCATGCTGCTCAGACTGGTCTCCTGGGCTCAAGAGATCTGCCTGCCTCAGCCTCCCAAAGTGCTGGGATTACAGGCATGAGCCACCGCACCCGGCCAGAATAGTTATTTGAGAGTAATCCATCAGTTCAACAAATACTTAACAAGGAAATATAGCAGTTAACAAAATAGACAAAAATATTTTCCCTTAAGGAGTTTACTTTCTAGTGGGGAGAGACTAACAGTAAACAAAAGAAGTTAAATACCGTATCTACTTTGACAGATGGTGATAAGTGCTATGGAGAAGAAATAAAACAAGAAAAGGGATTGGGAGCACCCAACAAGTGGGAGGAAGTGTGATTTAAAATAGGGCTGAACAGGAAGTTTTCACTGAAAAGGTAACATTTGAGCCAAGACGTGCAGGAGATGACAAGGACAGTGCCATTTACTCCAAGCATCTCTGGAGCCCACACCCAACATGGTTGGTGACTGGGAGACAGAAAAGGATAGGGGGGAAAAAAAAAAAGCTCAGGAAGACAACCATTCAAGTCCTACCCTTGTGTGTGCATCTCAAGGCTGTGTTCTTTTAAAAGAAGGAGAATTCTTTTAATTTCTTAAATCCGATGTGATGATGAACCACAGGCTTCAGTTTCAATCATGCTGAGTCCTAACATTTGTGACTACTTCCCCCGGGGTGGCCACTGTGAAGCATCTTTTGCGCATGAGCCTATTTTATCCTCCCAACAATATTAGGAGGTATCCTTGGTCCCGTTTTACAGATGCTGAAGATGACCTGGGTTGATATACTTAAGCAGGTAAGAGAGCCTTGATTCAAACTCAGGGCATAAACATTCAGGCTCTAACCCAGACAACTAAGAGGGGAAGAAGCTTTCTATGTCACTGTTCTGTGGAACTAGAAGGCCTTTGCCTTAAAAAGTCTGTTCTTATCTGTCAGTAATACAGTGCTTGCAATGGGCCTTAACTTTTAATATATATTTTTTTCTCTTTCAACCTAGGGACTCCACGTACCCCAGCTGGGTCTCATTGTTCCAGAACTGCATTAGTTAAGATTACCCAAACTTGGATTTCAAAGGAATACTTTCATTGTTCCATCTGTAACACGAAGTAATTGGGGCCAGCTGGATGTCAGGATGCGTGTGGTTACCATTGTAATCTTGCTCTGCTTTTGCAAAGCTGCTGAGCTGCGCAAAGCAAGCTCAAGCACTGTGAGAAGCCGAGTGAATCATGGCCGGGCGGGTGGAGGCCGGAGAGACTCCAACCCGGTCAAACGCTATGCACCAAGCCTCCCGTGTGACGTGTACACATATCTCCATGAGAAATACTTAGATTGTCAAGAAAGAAAATTAGTTTATGTGCTGCCTGGTTGGCCTCAGGATTTGCTGCACATGCTGCTAGCAAGAAACAAGATCCGCATATTGAAGAGCAACATGTTTTCCAAGTTTAAAAAGCTGAAAAGCCTGGATCTGCAGCAGAATGAGATCTCTAAAATTGAGAGTGAGGCGTTCTTTGGTTTAAACAAACTCACCACCCTCTTACTGCAGCACAACCAGATCAAAGTCTTGACGGAGGAAGTGTTCATTTATACACCTCTCTTGAGCTACCTGCGTCTTTATGACAACCCCTGGCACTGTACTTGTGAGATAGAAACGCTTATTTCAATGTTGCAGATTCCCAGGAACCGGAATTTGGGGAACTACGCCAAGTGTGAAAGTCCACAAGAACAAAAAAATAAAAAACTGCGGCAGATAAAATCTGAACAGTTGTGTAATGAAGAAGAAAAGGAACAATTGGACCCGAAACCCCAAGTGTCAGGGAGACCTCCAGTCATCAAGCCTGAGGTGGACTCAACTTTTTGCCACAATTATGTATTTCCCATACAAACACTGGACTGCAAAAGGAAAGGTTTGTACTTTTCTTACTTCTTCATTTTCATGAATAACTTGAAATGCTCTTTGAATCTTACAATCCTCCCTACACCCCACCATGTCTTGGAATTCTCGATGTCACTTCCACCAGAAACCTTTCCCCATTGGCAATGGAATTTACCCCAAGTTTTTTTGGGGTCCAGACTCAAGGCAGTTGGTAATTAAAGGACAATGACAAGAGGGAAGGAGGTATCCTCAGTAGGGCAGCCATTTGGGTTCTACCCATTTGCACATCGCAAGCTGTCACTGTAAGGAGTTCCTTTCATCTTAAATCCAATTTAACTTAGGTAGGTAAACCAAGGGGTATGAAAATAAGTACAAATGCCATCTATATAACCTGACTTACACTGATTAAAGTCAAAACATGGTGTGCATCTGTGAGAAGATAACCTCAAAGAGAAAACATCTGCAGAACAGGACTGTGAGAGCACTCTGAAACAAAGTGAAAGTGATGGCGCTTCTGTATTTCTTATCATTTAGTCCCAAGGTTTTAATAAATGTTCCTTTTTTTTTGAGATGGACTGTCGCTCTGTTGCCCGGGCTGGAGTGCAGTGGCACGATCTTGGCTCACTGCAACCTCCACCTCCCGGGTTCAGGCACTTCTCCTACCTCAGCCTCTCAAGTAGCTGATTTTAATAAATGCCTCTTAACGTCCTATATCTTATTTCCAAATTACCCAGAATAAAACAATAAAAATTTAAAGAACTAAATTTAAAATATTTAACCTAACTATGAGACTAAGGAAATCTTTCTAGAATATTACCCACTTCCTGCAAATCATTACTGGGTTTTGCAACCAATGCAATCTTGTGCTAGTATTATGCAGGATTTGCACATGCAAGATAAAGTCATGAGCTAAGAAAACAGATGGGAGATTTCAGTAATGCTCTTGACATGTTAGTGAAGACTGATGTTCTCAAAGTGTGGTCTGGGAACTGCTAATCTACCCTACAATAACGAACCATGTAACAATGTCTATATGTTTCATTTCTGGCATGGTTTAATAACTTATTTGTAATATTAAATTAAAGCCAGATGTCATTAAGTGAGGTTCATATTGTATATGGTATCATTTCTTCCACTTATTTTGGGAAATTTTGCTATGTTTTGTTTTTTTAAGGGCAAGAGAAAGGGAAAGTTCGGAGAGGAGGTCCTGGCTCCTCCCAAGAGAATGTTAGGCAGGAATTTATTAACATTGTCAGGCAACCTGAACCAGAAGTAAATTTGTCCACTTACCAGCAAAGTCATGCTCAAGCCTTGCCCCACCGCCCCACTCCCCCGCCCCCCACCCCAACTGTAAAGATGGCACCTGGTTAGATCCCACAGCAGCCATGTGGCACAGGGAGGTTTGCATACCAAGACACCCTGTGAACAGTATATAATTCAGTCCCATAGGAGAGCAGTTACATACAGCGTCATAACCTGGGACATGCCATTCTAGGCTCCAGGTACCCACACACATGCTGTTTACAACTTCCAGGAAGACAGTAACATTCCCATTTACAGATGAGGAAAATGAGGCTCAAAGAGGTTCAGTCACTTGACCATGGGTCTCACAGGTAAGTAGCAAAGCTAAGAAGTGAATCTTGGTCTACCTGAGTCAGAGCCTATGTGCGCTCCACTTCACCCTGCAATCTTCCAGAATTAATCTGAGCATATTCAAACAATCAGCTGCCTCAACAATGCAAGCATTAGGGAATTTCGAAGAGTAAGTAAATGTAGTTTTTCTGTAGCCAGAGTGGGTAGAATTTCCCGGATATTGTTATGCTGAGTCCTTAGTGCTTCATGCTGAAGAGCATGTTTATTAGAATTTCCTTTGTGGTGCTTAGATTGAAAACTGGAATTACGTATTTTTAATACTAATACAAAGCTACTCTCCTAGATTTTAGTTAGAATACTTGATATTGCTGAGGATCTAACCTCAAGCTACAGTGAATTTGTACTTGTATCAGGTGTAAATGAGAAAAGTAAATAGTATTAAGTTTATTAATTATCTGAGAAAAATACCATCTACACAAGATTTAAAACTTCTACAACGAGACTACACTGTGTTCTAAGAAGAGATAACATGTGAGGAAATATCTCTTTTTCACTGCTTTTATGCTCTTGGGCCATTCCCTCCCCCAATGAGCCTATTTCTGCTTTTGTGTTTTTTCCTTTTTTCCCATATTTTTATCTTGAAAAACATCAGCTTATAAAAATATAAGTACATTTTTATTGCTTTCTTTCTTCAACTTATTGTTGTCTAAACACAACCTTCCAGAAATGCCCCATAAATTCATACCCCCTGCTTTAAAAATACACATCATTTACTGAAACACAATATAAATAAGGTTTCATGACATATACACTTAGCATATATAATATTGGGTCATCAAAGAACAACTTAAGTTTCTCCAAGTGTTAATGACTATGTAATTCAGGGCCTATTATTTTAGATTATAAGACGAAGGGTAGGCCAGGTGTGGTGGCTCATGCCTGTAATCCCAGGACTTGGGGAGGCTGAGACAGGCGGGTCACTTGAGGTCAGGAGTTCGAAACCAGCCTGGCCAACAAGTTGAAACCCCATCTCTACTAAAAAAAAAAAAAAAAAAAAAAAAAAAATAGCCAGACATTGTAGCGGGCACCTGTAATCCCAGCTACTTGGGAGGCTGGGGCCTGAGAATCGCTTGAACTCAGGAGGCAGAGGTTGCAGTGAGTTGAGATTACGCCACCGCACTCCAGCCTGGGTGAGAGAGCAAGCCTCTGTCTCAAAGGAAAAAAAAAAAAAAATGAAGGGTAGCTTTGTCTTTTAATACTATCAATACAAATGGTTTTCACTATGGTTTATATAAATCTAGTGATTCATTTCATGATTTTTTGTTATATTGCTGTTTTCCATAAATTCAAAGGGAAAAGTCTTGTTTATTAAATTCCCTTTGGTAGTGGCTGCCACAGAGCTATGTGCTTTAGATTGATGATGATAACTGGACTGCAACCTTTGAAAGTGAAAATACACAGAAGTTAAAAATCATGGCTAGAATTCAAGTGTGACAACCTGAGGTTCTGTACAAGTATACCACATACACATGGTCACAAATAGAGAACCTGCATACAGATTCCCCAACTCGGAGTTGAGCCTTGCCCAGCTGACTTGTAATGAGTCAGATGGTGTGTGTAGGGGACCTAATATGTGCCAGTTCAACCACACAGACCTCAATGATCACTATGTATTTTTCCCTTAAATATCTAATGGCAAGAAAAAGAAATAATAGCTTTATTCACTGAGAAACAGGTACTTGCCAAGAAATCCTAGTTTTTCAAAGGGAATAAATGTGAGACTAATTGAAAGGCATATTTATGCCATATTGAGGTAAATGGATTTGCCAAGAATATGTGAAAGTCAGAGTTTTTAAACTGCTGTTACTTTCACATTGACCAGAATAGTTTACCATTTTTAAGGAGTTATTTTCCTTCTAACATCAGATGGGGGAGAGTTATGCAGGTACATTACCCTTAGCTGCCTCCGAAGTTAAGGGCACAATTTTACTACAGCTTAAACAATAGTTAAGAATTTTGTATATGCAATAAACAGGGCCATTTATGTCTCTTTTCTTACTATTACAAGCTTTCAGAGTACTTCTGAGGTGGCTGACAACCAAGAGAGCCTACTAAATGGGGAAACTACCTGGAGAAATTTCCTAATTTCCTCCTCAAAATCAACAAGGTTTGGCTGGAGGAGGAGCAAGCTTGTAAAGGGTAATAATCAAATAAATATGGTATTTGTTGAGGCATTTACCAAGAATTTGGGGTAGCAGTATATATGAAATGTGCATACCACATAGTACCTGAACTAGAAATAAGGGAATTGATCAAATTCTCCTTCTGGTCTGGGGAAATGTATACTTATATACTCTTCATCAAAAGCAAACACTGTGCATCAGTATTTGCAATTCTCATTCAAGTTCTAAGGTAAAAGAAGTAAAGAATTTTTCTATTCATCAACACAGCAGATTGAGATTTTCCTGTGTTTTTCTAAGCCACACTAGGAAAGCCTTTGCTTTGCATTTCCTGGTATTACTTGTGGATGCTATTTTTACCCTGGACTGCTGCTGACAATCCCAAAATGGATTCTGCAGTTTATATTCTTTTTCCAGCACCCACAGATCTGCCACATTGCCTAGGCCGAGTGTCAGAGTGTTCTCATAAACATTTTTTTCTACCCATTTATTTGTGGTTAACCCACTTTAGCTTGCCCTACAATGGTTGCTCTGTCATCCACCCTCATGTCCAGCCCAGCAGATGTGGGTTCAGTAAGCAAGTCCTGATAAACAGGCTGCTTTCTAGAATCTAGGAGGTGCTGACTCTGGTGACAAGGATGACCTACAGGTCTTAATGGCTTTATAGGGCCTTAGTGAAGACTCTGGCTTTCATCACAATGAGATGGGAAGTCACTGGAAGATTCAGCACATGCTAAGGCTTGTTTCATACCGACTTTCTTTGGCTTTAGATACTCCTTACCCCTTTTCTTTAAGAGCTGATTCTTCAATCACACAGATATAACGGTGACCGAGAAAATGGGGGCAAAAAGAGCATAATAACCTAAATATTATTAAATTTCCAGAGTTGAAAAAAGTGCCAAACAACATCCCTCCAGATATTGTTAAACTTGACTTATCATACAATAAAATCAACCAACTTCGACCCAAGGAATTTGAAGATGTTCATGAGCTGAAGAAATTAAACCTCAGCAGCAATGGCATTGAATTCATCGATCCCAGTAAGTTCCCCTGTATAGCCCCTTCAATGGGTGGCAAGTGTTCTGTGATTTTTTTTTCTATGGCAACACTTATATACAGTAAATTTAGTTTAAAAATAACTGAACTAAACTAAGTAATAAAGTACAAGTTTTAATTAAACATGACACTTATATTAGGAGTTGTTTGGCACTCAGAGAAATATTTGCCAAACTGCTGCTTTATGAAGTATGTAATACCACATATTACTACCATTTATTGTTAGCCCAAATAGTGTGTTATAGAATAGATTTTTAAAGTAATATATGGCAAATGGTCAGTAGTATGCTAAAATGTAGTGATTTTTTTTTTTTTTTTTTTTTTTTTTTTGAGATGGAGTCTCGCTTTTGTTGCCCAGGCCAGAGTGCAATGGTACGATCTCAGCTCACTGCAACCTCTGCCTCCTGGGTTCAAGCAATTCTCCTGCCTCAGCCTCCCAAGTAGCTGGGATTACTTACAGGCATGTGCCACCATGCCTAGCTAATTTTGTATTTTTAGTAAAGATGGGGTTTCATCATGTTGGTCAGGCCGGTCTCGAACTCCTGACCTCAGGTGATCTGCCCACCTTGGCTTCTCAAAGTGCTGGGATTACAGGCATGAGTCACCGCACCTGGCCAAATGTAGTGATTTTTATTTATTTATTTATTTTTTTTTGAGAAGAAGTCTCTCTCTGTCGCCCAGGCTGGAGTGCAATGGTGCAATCTAGGCTCACTGCAAGCTCCGCCTCCCGGCTTCATTCTCCCGCCTCAGCCTCCCAAGTAGCTGGGACTACAGGCACCCACCACCATGACCAGCTAATTTTTTTGGATTTTTAGTAGAGACGGGGTTTCACTGTGTTAGCCAGGATGGTCTCGATCTCCTGACCTCGTGATCTGCTTGCCTCGGCCTCCCGAAGTGCTGGGATTACAGGCGTGAGCCACCATGCCCGGACTAAATGTAGTGATTTTTAAAGGGAAATTCAAATTTGGAATTTTCTTCGCTATTCATTAAGCCCCATCTTGTTTAGAATAAATTAGAAACAAACTTCTAAGCACTAAGCTCATAAATTAGGACAAAATATGCTCAAACCAGAGCCAGACATATTATATCTAGTTCTAGATCAAGACCAATTCTCTTTCCCGTCCTTCAAATCTCTTCTCCATTTGCTAAGCAAAGCCACTGGTGAAAATGAGCTTGGTAAACTAAGTAAACACATCGGATTTGGAAAGAACTGAGAATTACTGCAATATTGACCAGATTTATAACATATATCACACAAGTGCTTTCACTAGGCTACTTCAATTTGAAAAGTTCTAACCATGAAAATGATTATTAAAATTATTAATAATGTAATGTAATGTTATAAACATTTTGAGTACAATTGTTTTCCCTGCTTTTCTTCGTGATAATCTAATAGCATTAATAGATCATTAGAATTTTAACACAATAAAAGTGAAAAATTAGAATGAACATTCTGGAGCCACAAGGGCATATTTTAGAATTAACGTCTTTTTAAAAATTAGAAAATCATAATTTTTTAAAATTTCCCAAGGGACAGCAGTATGCTACACTTACACCTTAGCCTGTTACAGATGATGCTAACTTGGGAGTATGTTTGAACTGTGAAGTCAAAAGCAATTTTCATTTCTCAGTAAATGAGAATACTACAGACACCCTTCCCCCAAATGAAGTAAGCATTATATTAGTGTGCAAGTCAGTCACTGGCAGCCAGTGCTGTGTCCACAAAACCAGGGCACAGGGTAAAGAATCTGGAAGTGGAGACGCTTTCTTGCAAGAAAAACTCATTTCGACCCCCTATGATTCCATCTCCAACCTGACCAATCACCACTCCCCACTTCCCAAGCACCCACCTAGCAAATTATCTTTAAAAACTCTGATGCCTGAATGCTCGGGGAGACTGATTTGAGTAATAATAAAACTCTGGTCTCCCGCACAGCCAGCTCTGCGTGAATTACTTTTTCTCCACTGCAATTCCCGTCTTGATAAATCGACTCTGTCTAGGCAGCGGGCAAGGTGATCCCATTGGGTGGTTACAAACTAAAGAATCTCAGGACAAACAAAAGCTATTCCAAAGGTCCTTGGGCAAGTGTCTGATTTCCTTCTGCTGTCATCTACAAGCAAAGCCGTAGTTTACCAGCTATCAATGCAAACCAAGTTTTAAAGCTGTCTCAAAAAAAAAAAAAAAAAAAAAAAAAGAGAGAGATTACACTAGTTATATGTCCTAAGTTAAATGTATTAAAGTAATGAGTAACGGTTACAACAAAACTAGTATATAAATGAAACTTGAGAAAAATGACAAGACAATGCAAAGAGATAGATAATAGTGCAAAATGGACTTGCCTTGCTTCTACTGATGTTTTTTTCACATGTTTTCCATAACTGATACTTTTCATCAGTTGTGGAATTCCCATAATTGCAGGGATTCCTTTTCTGTCCTTAGGATCCCCTGAAGGTCTTTTAATCTTGTTCACCAAATGTGTGCTCCTTGCTGACACAAAATGGTCTCTATCATCAGTGGTGGTACTCTCTTTTCCCTCTTTGTTCAATTCAATCTCAGGAACATATTTTCTACATTAATAAATATTTATTAAGCACCTACCAAATGCCAAGCACTTTCCTGGAACAAAAAGTTCTTTTGAAACAAAAAAGTATCTCAGCAGTTAAAGCAAAATAACCTAAAAAAGTTTTAAAATGCAAGGTCTCCTATATTTCAGGGTCTTTGGGATGAAACCCTACAAGTAGACTTACTTGAATGATTTTTGCTGGTAAGTATACAAATGCAGTGGGAGTCGCCAGACTTGAAAAGACGTGAATAACAATCATATAAAATGCCAGACATTGTTGTGGAAAAGAGAAAGAAGATACCCTAGTAGGGAGTTTTTACCTCCTTTAGAAACAGACGAAAACTAGTTTTCCCAAGTGCCTGAATATATATGGTTTAAGTAACAATATACAACACTTTCAAAATAAAATGTAGGAATGTTTACATATGCTTTTAATCTCAAAGTCTAATGTCTTGAGAAAAGTAAATCTGTGAGATCACTCACTCACAGAATTTTAGCAAATAGAAAAAAATCCAGTATCTTCAGAACACAAGGGCTGATCTTTTGTCCCCTACCCCCAAGACATTGCTTGGTACCAAAATAGAAAGTTATTTTTTTAAGGGGGAATTATGGGTTTTTTCTGAGAACAGATAATATGAAAATAGTTAATAGTAATGGTATGACCACATATTTTCCTAATTCAAAATAAGGACGCTATGCTCTACAAGGGTATTTTAAAACAATAATGAGATAATGTTTGAAATAGAAACAAAATATTTGTATTTCTGGAGTATCTGGCTGGTCCATATCAACTGGAATACAGATGACCCAAGTGTAGACTTCTTTGCTCTTAGAGGGGGAAAAAAGCTTTTTGTTGTTTTATTTTCAGTTATATTTTGTATTGGTTTTAATTATCCAACCTCCAGCAAAATTAAATACATATGGATTCAAAGCTGATAGCTACCATAGTTTGCCAAAATACAACCAGATGTTTTCAAAATGTTGGAAAAAATTGTTTGTTTTGGGATTCTACAGGAATAGAACCCTTCCCCCAACACTGGGAAAAGTTTGTTTTCTAGGCATTTTCAGGGTTACTGATATCCCAGGGAACTGTCAAATCACCACCCAGCACATTTTTCATTTTTATCTGCACTTGTCTTACATGTGAAATATTTTCTTAATTCATTTCTCTTTTTTGTAGCATCTTTTTTTCCCCAAGTATCAAAAAAAAAAAAAAAAAAAAACATGAGCCCAAAATACATTTTTAAAAGCTAACTTAAAACTGAATATTGTATTCTAGTAAAACTAATCAAGGGAAAAGCTTTGAGTAACAATATATTTCACAATTTTGCAGTCAGACACGTTTACAATGGAGAAATATAATTAAAAACAAAACCTTCCTTCAATCCAGAAACTCTCTCCATAAAGGTGGTAATGAAAGAAAACACTTTCATTATTGACTAAGCATTAAACTAGAATGTGATGCATATCACAGGCAATCCACTAAGAGACTGCAAAGACTCTTGCCCCTATGGAACCAGGCAGATAGCCCCCATTACAGGAATCTCGCCCCTATGTAGCCAAGCAGATACCACCCATTACATACACGTTTTCAGGACAAACAATAATGAGTCCGTAAGGAAGATTTGACAACACCTTTTGTCACACAAAATTCATCCTAACTTTACCTGATAAATGGGGTGACCATCTGTGTTAGCTTATTGACCTTATTCAGAGAAAAATAAATTTCTGTCTGCATGACAGGAGGTAGTTTTTCAACCGGAAGCAAGTTCTCGCCAAAGTTAGGACCCCACCCTCCCACCAGAGCTGGGAGATGGAGGTACCATCTTCCTAGATGTTTACATTTCAAAGAGATAGCTCCCAGGTCCTTGAAAAAGGCATTCTTGCATCATAAAGGTGACAAAAAGCCTATCTGGTCTTCAAAAGGATTTAAAGACATTTCAAAGGGAGGAGAAAGTACTTATAGTTAAAAGTTTTCTAGAGTAAAAGCTCTGGGAAAAAGAAGGGAAGAGAAATCTCTTTATTTTCAAAGGGGAAAATTAAGCCTCTTTTTAAAACTTGTATTTGTCCTTTTGATATACCATACAGTGATTAACTCAATTACTCAGGCTCAATAAATATTTTCTGTTTCCAGCTGCTTTTTTAGGGCTCACACATTTAGAAGAATTAGATTTATCAAACAACAGTCTGCAAAACTTTGACTATGGTGTATTAGAAGACTTGTATTTTTTGAAACTCTTGTGGCTCAGAGATAACCCTTGGAGATGTGACTACAACATTCACTACCTCTACTACTGGTTAAAGCACCACTACAATGTCCATTTTAATGGCCTGGAATGCAAAACGCCTGAAGAATACAAAGGGTGGTCTGTGGGAAAATATATTAGAAGTTACTATGAAGAATGCCCCAAAGACAAGTTACCAGCATATCCTGAGTCATTTGACCAGGACACAGAAGATGATGAATGGGAAAAAAAACATAGAGATCACACCGCAAAGAAGCAAAGCGTAATAATTACTATAGTGGGATAAGATAGAAATTGTTCTCATTGCAATTAGTTTTGTATTTTCTATACTGGTGTTAGAAAACATATGTTTACATTTTGATTAACTGTGTTGCCTATTTATGCAGGGTAATCCAGCTAAAGGAAGCTTTCTTTAATTATGCTAAGTATTATTGTGACTATTATAGTAATCAAGGGAATTGTCATCCTGTTTGCCTGTCCATTTGTGGAACAGCATCTGGTGATATGCAATTCCACACTGGTAACCTGAAGCAGTTGGGTCCTAATGATGGCATTAAACTTTCATAATGTCCTGTATAAATGTTTTTACTGCTTTTTGGAAATAAAGAAAAAAAAACTTGGTTCATTTTTACATGCCTTTCAATAGCTGTTTGTGCATACCTATGTAGCAGGACGAGCCGCAGACAAAACTCCTCAGACACCGAGTTAAAGAAGGAAGGGGTTTATTCAGCCAGGGGCATCAGCAAGACTCCTGTCTCAAGAGCCAGGCTCTCCAAGTGAGCAATTCCTGTCCCTTTTAAGGGCTCACAACTCTAAGGGGGTGCATGTGAGAGGGTCACGATTGATTGAGCAAGCAGGGGGTACATGACTGGGGGCTGCATGCACTGGTAATTAGATCGGAACAAAACAAGATAGGGATTTTCACAGTGCATTTCTATACAATGTCTGTAATCTATAGATAACAGAACCAGTTAGTTCAGGGGTCGATCTTTAACTACCAGGCCCAGGGTGCAGCGCCAGGCTGTCTGCCTGTGGATTTCATTTCTGCCTTTTAGTTTTTACTTCTTTCTTTGGAGGCAGAAACTGGGTATAAGATGATATGAGGGGTGGTCTCCTTCCTTATTCCCCCCTTTTGAGACTTTCACTCATTTTATTAGTGGGAGTTCTCACTTTCATTTTCACTACCCATGTCTTTTTGCAAGACAGATCGATAGTGATTCACATAGTACACTTGTGCTGAAGCATTTTGGTGAACTAAGGTAGCGATGAAGCTTTTTATCATTTGAAGAAGTACAGGTAGCAAACAAGGGAGCAGTAGGCAGGTTCCTATTATTATTATAGCTCCTATTATAAGAGTTTTAAATCCTCGTAGCGCTGGGAACCATTTTCCAAACATGGCCCCAGGATCAAATTCATGCCACACTTGCACGGGCACATGTGCCAGTTTTGTCATATCTCTAACTATGTCTTTAACTACTTGCCCTCGATTATCTATGTGTAGGCAGCAATTAGTAAGGTTAAATGTCCTACAGACCTCTCTTTCAGCTGCTAGCAAGTAGTCAAGAGCTAATCTATTTTGATAGATACCATTTTTCATCGAGTTTCTTGCCAGGACAGAATAGTCAAGGCTCTGCCGGTTTTATTAGTGATTATTTTTAATACAGCTTGTAACCGTATGATTCAGTTGATCATGTAAATGGGGGTCTGGTATCCCCATGAGCCGTCTTGTGCCTAAGTAGCAGGCCCATAATATTATATGATTCTCTCAGAGGGTCATTTATTATTTTTTCAATTTCCTATAGCTATGCTTCTCTTTTCGTGGGGAGCATAGACAGGGAAGCCCAGGAGTTCACCTGTTTTTATGGGCAGTAGGAAGAACGATGGTTTAATAGTGCCAATAGCACAACTACTTGTCCGCTGGTCAGGCAGCTTAGCATAGACTCTATGTCCACATATCCAGCATGGCCCATTGGGGGCCGTCCAGTCCTAGGATTCTGGGTGGGCCTAAACGGTCTGCAACTATGGAAATTTACTGAATGGATTTTTCTCTGTGTGGTTTGAACTTCACCATGTAGTCTTTCTACAGGAAGGGTGAAGTCCTTCTCCACTCTTGCTATACAGTATTGTCCAATGATTGAGGCTTTTAGGACCTAGAAGTGATTAGGGTGATTCTTTTGGGCCAGAAAATTCATCAGGAACTGGGTCCGTAGGTACTAATTCTCGGGCTTCCTATCTCCTATTACAGTTCCTCCACTTATATAACATGAAGTGACACTGAGAGACTGGGCTACGTGCTCGGCTAATTGCAAAAACAAATTTCTTGTTTTTCATGGAATTTCTGGTACTGGCGCTTTTAGTTTATCATAAAAGCTTTGAAATACTGGCTCAGGAGAGTGTTTATAAACTTTTATTCAAACCACGATATTTACTCGAGGATCCAGCCCAGCCCCATTGATTGCTAAGGTCACACGTTCCTCTTTTTTCCAATGAGGATCTAGGGGATTGGTTATTACTAGCTCTAAGGGGTTACATTGTCCCTTAGTATAGGAAGGGCCATTTTTTCCTTTCTGAAGGTGGACTGGATCCTTTTCATTTTTTTATCCAAGTGGCCTAAATGACACAAGACCAGTATTTACATTTATTTCCACATAGTCCTAATTTATGACAGATGTACTTATTTTCTATCAGATAGCCTCTTTTCTAATTAAGAAAACTACACCTTATTTCTAACTTATTACTATTAATGACAGCACAGGCATCAAATTTTAAGGTGACTTGTTTGGGCAGCCTTTTTCTTTTTCTGTTTTGGCTAACACTTTACTCGTATCGCTTATGAGGCCCTACCAGTCTTCAGTTCTTAATCTTATTTTAAAAACTGTGGTCATGGGAGGCTCAGATGGGTCATAATACACATCAGGTTGGTCATTTCCTGGGCTACATACCTTGTACAGAATAACATTACACAAACAAGTTCTTTTTAGAGTTCCAGTACACTTATAATAACCATAAACTAATAGGACCGTAGCAACCTTTTGTCCTACTTGATGTATACACTGGGAACAGCTCTCAGTCTGAAGAAGGTCAGTTGAAATCCTTACTGTACAAGTCCAAATTTTAAGGAAAATGAGTCCCACGATGAGTTTCCTCATGCTTTGGCTGTGCGTGGACCAGTCGGTTTCCGGGTGTGACTGGGGTAGGGCTTGTCGTCTTCTTCAGAGTCACTTTGCAGGGGTTGGCAAAGCTGCTCCCATCCACGTACTGCTCACAGTCTACTGATGTTTAAGGAGGTCTCGGAGGTCGGGCCTGCTAGAATAAACTGAGTCTAACACCTCTACACAGTAATGTTCAACTGGGCTCTCTGATACCGGGAGCAAAGTAGTAGGGTTTAGGGTGTTGTAAACTTCAATAGTTATGTGGGGATTTTCACATAGCACGCTTTGGTGCTTGGTTAATCTAGCATTTGTTAACCAATGATGTCCTTTGGTATTTATTAAAGTTACCACAGCATGGGGGGTCTTTATATTCAGGTTTTGCCTAAGGGTTAGTTTATCTGCTTCTTGTGCTAACAGGGCCGTTGCTGCTAGGGCCCTTAGACCAGGGCGCCAGACTTTGGAAACCCTGTCTGGTTGTTTTGAGAGATAGGCCACTGGCCTTGGCCAGGGCCCCACAGTCTGGGTTAAAAGTCCAACTGTCATTTTTTCCCTTTCTGACATATAGAGTGTAAAGAGTTTTGTTAGGTCAGGTAGCTTCAGGGCTGGGGCCGACATGAGTTTTTCTTTTAACGCATGAAAAGCTCGTTGCTGTTGATTGTAATAGATGTAGTTTATCTAATCTACATTTTTACTAACTGTCACCCACCAAAATATTGACTCAAATCCTGCAGCTATTTGATTTTAAGCTTTAAATTGATCTGGTATTCCTAGTGGGACTCCAATTGCGTCTAAATAGACATGAGAGTCGGGAGACCCATAAGGGACTTCTCTCACTTTACGATGTCTTATTTTTTTCCCTTCTGGTTGATGAAATGCCAGGGTGAAAGGGATAGCCAACTGTACTAAAGTACAAGTACCACTCCAGTTATTCAGTAGAGTGCCTGTAAATGTCCACCACCATACCACCACACATCCGCTCAGGGATGAACAAAGGCTGACTGATTGATAAGCTCCTGAAAATTCTTAAGCTCACTGCATCCTTTCAGGTCTCCAAAGAAGGCTAAGTTTCCTCCCTGTCGTGAGACACATGAAGTGAACGTAGTGTTGGGAGACAGAGGCTGGATGGCCCTCGGGGGCTGACCCGCAGGGTGCCAGACTTTGGGATGTAACAGAGAGAGCTTCGCAGGACTTATTACTCCAGGCTGTAGAATCCGGGAAAAGAGCTACTATGCAACCCACACCTGGTCGACTGGAGGACCACCTTAGTGGAAAGGGGACAATCTGGGCCTCTGGCCTGCCATGTGCACATGCATAACAATTGCTTTTGTTTAACATGCAGATGGAATATTTGATACATTTTAACCAGGCATCTGCATCTTGGTATCCTGTCTTAATTGCTAAAGTTTGTTTTAAGTCTTTAACTTCTATGCTCCTCTAGTAAAATGAATGTATGGTTTTAGGAAATAACAAAAACTGGTTGGGGCAGTACATCCTTGCTCTTTAGTGGTCCACAAAACGCTGGACCAACTATGGCATGAAAGCTCTACATCAGGGGGCAAGACTCCTGGTTGGCACTAGGGTCTTTATCGAAATCTCCCCAGATTAAATAGTCCTTGTTTACTAATGCCCAGTCTGAGGACAGCAGGAGGGACAGAAGTACTTTTCTGAAGTAGAGAGCTGTCTTTGACTTGGCAAGTCCCCACAGGGTATAACAAGGCAAGCATTAAATGCAATAGTTTGAGGAAAAATCGACTTGGTTATGTTAATAACCAGATGGTCAGCAATAGAACGAGGAAAGAAGAAAAAGTAATAGAATAGATGAAAAGAGTTAAATTTTTCTTAGCTTTAGTTTGGTAGGGTTTTCCCTTGGGACTATGGCCCACAACTCTGGAGGAGGTGGTGCTTTCTTGACTCGGGTGTGATGAATCCATCCTCCTTTTTTTTTTTTTTTTTTGCTGTACGAACAGCAGTCTTGGTGGTTAGCAGCACAAGGTAGGGTCCTTCCCAGGCTGGCTCGAGTTTTTCTTCTTTCCACCTTTCAATGAGAACATGATCTTCAGGCTGGTGCTGGTTTACCGGAAATTCTAGGGGTGGTACATGTGCTAAAAGACTTTTAGTTTTTTGCTTTTTTTTTTTGCGAGAAAAGAAAGTGGAAGATAAACTAAGTATATAATTTTTAAGAAACTGACCTTTTGTTTTAAATGTGGGGACCTTGGCAGTGGACTTTATACTCCTTAGTGCCTTTTTAGTGAGAAATTTCCTTTAGCACCTATTTTTATTAGTTTTTAAACCAAAGAAAGCCAAATACCATTTTACATCTAACAATGCTTCTCATATGATTTTTATACCAGATAAGCTAAATTTTATCTTTATATTAGTGTGTTATTAATGTTAAACCTAATTTTAATAAAATCTTGCAGACATATTTATCTAATTTTTAATGTTTGACCATAAGGTAAGATTTCATAGACTCTTTTTA